GCCGGAGCCCGGCAGGGCGGCGGGGCGAGACTCCGACTCAGAAAAAGCCTGGCCGGGCCTGGCGGCGGAGCCTGTCGTCCCAGCTACGCGAGAGGCTGAGGCGGGAGACTGTTTTGCGCCCAGGAGCTGGAGTCTGCGGTGAGCTACGATCTTGCCCTTGCGCTGCAGCCTGGGCAACACAGCAAGACCCCATCTCTGCAGAAAGCAAAGATGCGTGCCAAGCGGAGGCTGCCCCCGGGGCCGTCGCCGGGGCCCAGGTGGGATAGGGCTCCAGGTCTGGCTGAGGAGCAAGGGACCCAGGGACGCAGAGGGCCCCGGCCAGGGCCAGGTGCGGCGGCCACTCACACGAGGTACTGGTCGCGGATTTTCCGCAGCTGCATGAGGTCGGGCTTGAGGCTGTTCATACGCTTGTCGATTTCACGGTTGTCGGCGGCCTGGGCCCGCAGCTGCTGCTCCAGCCGGGCGCGGCTCTCGTGGATTTCCGCGATTCGCGACTTGAGCCGCTCTGAGTTCAGCAGGATCCTGCGGGCGGGGCTGCAGGCCTCAGGGGCGCTTTCCCCAGAGCCTGCTTTGCAGCAGACCAAGCGCTTCCAGCTGCTCATGCGGTCTCCTCTGCTCTCGCTTGCTGGCAAACTCCTATTCGTCCTTCCGAGCCCCGCCTCTCCTGTCACCCCTCCGCTCCCTTTGCTCACTTCATGGAGCCACAGCCGCCCTGGGCCAGCAAGCAGGCGGGCAGCCCCCTCACCTCTGCATCTCCTTCTCGTTGCCCTCGCGCCGGAAGCGCTCCAGATACTCCTTGCTGCACTTCTCCTGCGTCTGGCCCTGCTCTTCGAAGATCTTGATGGTCTCGTTGAAGGCCTCGATGGCCGTGCGCTTCATCTGCAGCTCCTGGAGGAGCGGGAGCGTCTTAGCACCCCCGGGGACTCCCTGAAAGTCCCGCACGGGGGGTGAGGGCGGACCCCAGCTCTGACACGGAGATTTGCTCAGGCATCATGCTCCCAACACCTTCCGTACCAAGTGAACCCCTATTTAGGCTCCAGAACCCCATCCCCCAAACCCTCATCTCTTTCTCTGGGAGTCAGAGTCTCACTCTGTCGCCCAGGCTGGGATACAGTGGCACACCCACGGCCACTGCAGCCTCAACCTGCAATTCTTCCACCTCAGCCTTCCAAGTGGCTGGAAACCCAGGTATGCGCCACCATGCCCAGCTAATTTTTTTATTTTTTGTAGAGGCGAGGTCCTGCCGTGCGGCCCAGGCTGCGCTCGAACCCCTGGCTCAGGCAGTGTGGGGGTGATGGGCGTGAGCCCCTGTGCCTGGCTCTTTCCTGGTTTTTAAAACCACACACGCTTATCTGGATGGCTTCAGGACAGCCCGGCGCCAAGAGCCCGCTGCGCGCCGCACCCGGGCGCCTGTCCCCGCCCAGCCTCACTGCCGTCCGCAACCAGCCGGCGTACCTGGGAGGTGCGGGTGTATTCCTCGTACAGCTGGTCGTACTCGCGGCTCTTGTCCTGGTACTGCTGGTGATAGACCTTGAGCTGCGCGCCCACCGCCTCCACGCTGTCCTCCTTCACGACCTGGTCCTGGGGATGCGGCGGGTCAGGGCGAGGGCGGCCTCCCAGGACCGCGGCCGTGGCCGGGCACCGCCCC